AGGAGTCGGGGCCTCAGGGTAGGGGGTTCCCAGGGCTGCTCGGGGCGCTGCCGGCGGCCGCGGTCCTCCCGGAAGTCTTGTGCACAGGGGGACAGGCAGGGACCCGCGAAGCAGGAGAGTCCCCAGCCAGCCCCGGGTTTGCAGGGTTGCGGCCCCATCGGGGTGCCCGGCCCTCGGGGTGCTCCCGGCTGCTCATCAGCCACTTATCCCCAGTTCCGAGGGACCCAGTGAGAGTCCGCGCCCTTAGAGGATCCAGAGGAGCTTGGTTGCTTCTGAGTTAGGACGTCAGAAACCTACTGGTTAGGGTCCCTCAGTGCACTTTACCGCGAACCAGTGCCTTATCCCAAAGGACCAGGGACTTAGCGGCAGGATTTGAGGCCTGGAGGCAGGCTGGGGGGTGGGGCAGGCACTAGGGGACCACATTGGTGGGCTAGCACCTGGGCTCTTTCCTTGAAGACTAGACCATGATAGGCTGGGTAAACTGGGACCGCAGTCAGGATCTGATAAGAAATCTATGCTGGCAGTGACGCTAATGTCCTGCAGATGTCCACCTGGAGCAGCAGCAGCCCGTCTCTCAGGGCTTAGGGACAGGGAGAGGGGAGTGGGCAGGGCCAAAGCTACTGGGTAATACTGGAGGTGTGTTGCATGCTAGGGGTGGCCAGCACCCTCTGTGGCCTTGTCCACCGAGTTCACTGGCCTGGACCGAAAGCTGGCTTATAGGATGGAGGCGCTAGGGTCAATCTTCACCTTCTAACGCAGATGTCCTTGCAGAACTTGGTTTCCACACTTGTCAGGTACTCGCACACTCCGTTAGGGGGAGGGCCTTCAGTCAGCAAGCCCCTCCCCTTTCCCTGGTCCCCCCTGTTCTGGGTCTGGCCGGGTAAAGAATCATTCTCCCCAGGTGCTACAGGAGGCATACTGATTCTTCTCTGCTTCCCACCCCTCGTGGAGCTGGTCTCCCTCTGCCCCACAGTCCATTCTTCTATCACCTAAAATCCTTTGTGCAAGTAGCCCAGGTAGAAAACGGCTGTGGTAATAGAGGCCCTGGAATGTGAGGACCCCTCCCCAGGAGCCTCAGATGATCGCGGGCATCTCATGCTGGGTCAGCAGCGACAAAGCCCCCCTGCTGAATCCCCCTCCCCTATCTGCCCATCTCCCAGGACTTCCTGATAAAATCCTCCCTTGATCAGGCCAGTGGTTTTCTTAGAATCCGAAATGCAGTCTCCCATTAACCACTCATGTCTCCTGTCTCATCTCAGATCTCAGCCCACAGGCAAGCCTTGGAAAGTTTTCTGACTCCCCATCCTAAGACTGTCCCTTTAAGACTTCGTAAGCGCACTTCTTAGGCCTGCCTAGCTTCTGAAATCTTTCCTTCCGTAGCCACATCATCGTCTGTAATTATATTATTTTCCAGGTGATTTCTCTCCCCTATCCCTGGGGACAGACTGTAGAAAACTCAAGGGCAGAGCTGGCTTGGTCTGGGGGCACCACGGCATTCGCAGCACATTGCTTTGTGCTTGGCATGTATAGCAGGTGCTCAGTCTACTTTTGTTGAGTACATAAAATTGATTGCAGAGCTTAACAGAAGTTGAGTTTGGATTTTCAAAGTCCGTCTTAGAAACAAAGCTCTGTTCAGTTGAACCTGGTGTGGCTTCGTGTAGCACTTCCTCACGGCCCCGCCCTGGCCCATCTCGAGGGAGCCTGAAGCCTCGGGCTCCTAGCTTTGCCCTAACCCTGCTCTCTGCTTCTCTCCCCAGAAGAGGTGGAGGACGTGAGTGAGGAAGCCCCGCTGAGGGATCGTTCCCACATCGAGAAAACTCTGATGCTGAATGAGGACAAGCCAGCTGATGATTTCTCTGGTAACCAGAGGCAGGAGCCAGGCAGTGCTGGGCTGGGGGGTGCCCCGTGGCCAGCGGCCAGGCAGAACCTCCAAGGCTACGGCTGACGCCGGCAGGCATCTAGGGGAGGAGGAGCGCCCTGGAGATGGGGGGCTTCGTGGAAGAGGCTCCGTGAGCAGCGTCGAAGACTTGGGTTGGCTGGGAGGAGGAAAGGCAATCTAAGCAGAGGGACCAGTGGTAGGGTGGAGGGCAAATTCCAGTGCTGCAGCCTGGGGACAGTGCCAGGCTCCAAGTTGTGGCCAAGAGGGTTGTTAATAAGAGTTTATCACATTGGCTTTGATTTTTATAGTTTATAAAGCCCTTTCATGTCCGGTATTTCATTTCATCCTCATAATAACCCAAGGTTTCAACAGGGCTTACTGTTTCTTCTTAGTCAATGAGCTAATGAAAGCTGGGGGCAAGGCAGGGGTTTGCTAGGGCACATAGCTGGTTGAGGGGCGTCCACGGGGGTGGTTCGGAAAGCCTGACCCTCTGTGGCTCCACGTTCCTCCCTCTCTGAGCCTCACCTCATGAACCCCTTATCCCAAGAAGATGCTTGGGATGTCTGAATCCTCCCAGGGGCACTGGGGATGCGGTGAAGGGTGTGGGGCTGGGGCTGCCATGCCTTCTTGCCCTTTAAACCTAAGGCAAGTAGAGGTACTGGCCGAGAGAAGGAGATGGGGTTCCCATCTGCAATAGGAAGGGTCTTCAGTTAGCTGCAGAGCTAGGTGAGGTGGTGCTTCTGGACATACTATTGAGGGGAAGGAAAAGCGGATTAGGTTAAAAAAGAAAGAAAGAAAAACACTCCAGAGGCTTACGGGGTTGGGTAGGGGGATGCCTTCTGGTTTAAAGATTTCTGAGGATTGGGACGTGCACCTGCTCCCCACCCCCATCTCCGGCCCCAGGAATGCTGATGCACAGCCCGGGTTGGAGCCCGCCCCTGCTCCCCACCAGACGGGGCCAGAGCTGCTCTGGGGAGTGAGCCAGGTCCACAGGGGTGCAGCTGGCCGCCCCACCCCACAGCACCCCTGCCTGACGCTCTCCCGTCACCTTTCTCTGCCTCTAGTGGTGCTGCAGCGGCTTCGAAAGATTTACCACTCGTCCATCAAGCCCCTGGAGCAGTCTTACAAGTACAATGAGCTTCGGCAGCACGAGATCACAGGTACCCCTGGTGTCCAGAGGTCGGGCTTGCACCTTTGGCCATCTGCATTCCCCCACGTGCATGAGGGGAGTTCTCTTGAGTTCTTGGGGAGGGGCAGAGGCTTCAGTGGCATGGACCATCCCTTCAAGGTGTGCCTTTAATCTGCACAAGGCATCATGGAGAGCATTTGATCTGTGAACCTTCATGCCACGTAGTGCAGTTTTGGTTCCCAAGGATGGGGATACCAACTTCCATCCCTTCTGTGCCCAGGAGCCCCCAAGGGCTCCCCATTCACTTACAGATCATGTCTCTCGTTCCCCTGGTTGGCCTGGAATCCTTCCCTCCTCTTTATGGCTTCTCCAGTTGACTTCCCTTGGGTCTGGATTCTTTTAAAAATTGATTTTCAAAGTAATAAAAATAAGGTATACTTCTTGCCCCCCCCCAAATTCTGTGCAAAATAGTATAAATTGAAAAGTAAAAATCCGTTTCTTGGCCTAATTCCACTCCAAGAGACACTCACTGCTATAGTTTCTTGTGAACACTTCCAGACTTTCCTCTGCAAACATGAGCATATACAAGTGCATCTTTTCATTCATTTTACAAAGATGAAATTACACCACACCACTGCTCTTTCTGTTCCTTGTGAATGCACCCCCCTAAATGATACTACCCTGCTGATGAACCACTGAGTGTTCCCTTTTTAAAGTGTTACAAACTCTACTATAATTGTTACATATTTTACCCAAGTAAAGTTGTAGGATAAATTTTTAAAAGGAATGCTGCAATTCAACATTTTGAAGGTTGCCGCCCAGACGCTAGAGTTCAGGTTGCCCTGCAGCAATGCCATTTTAAAGTGCTGTTTGTCTTGGAAAGCTGTGAGTGATGGCAACATCCAACTGCCGTTTGAATGGTCAGTGGTATGGCACCGGCTCGGTGCGTGTTGGTTGGCTGTTTCTGTATTGCTTCCTGCGGGGCTCTGCATGCCCGTACAGTGGATGGGGGTTATAGGGCGAACAGTATTCCTGCTTTACAAATGACGGACCCTTGAGGCCCAGAGAAATGCTGGGCTACCCAGGATCACCCAGCTGGAATTCAGAGTGGTAACTTTCTCCTCCTAAAGAGAAGACGGCTCCCTGGCTTACGATGACCTCTAGGGTTTCTTGCATCCTCCTGCTTCTCAGAATGCGCGGGCCCAGGAGGCTGCGGAGAGGGCGTCCCCGGGTGCCGGTGCTCCTCTGTATGCCCCGCCCCCCCAGCCTCTTGTGTAACCTCCCTCCTTGGTGCCTCGCCTGCAGCCTCCTACGTGTGCCGGTAATGCCCCCTGCTGCACAGATCGGGAACAGCAGCGAGGAAAGCCAGCGTGTGGTGGTCTCCCTGGAGAGCTTTAAGGTCCACAGCCCTTCGGTGTGGCCTGGACCTGGGGAAAAGAACCTTTTTGTAGGCTCTCTGTAGCTATAACTGGGGACACCTGCCTCCCTGGCCCGCAGCCTGCCTGACCCTCCCTGTCCCAGCAATGCGAAGGACTGAGTGTCTTTACAGGCAGGGAGGAAGGGGCAGGGCCTGGTACCAATTTCAGGCCCTATACATATGTGCCCTCCCCTTATGAGACACCAGCTTGGTCTTCGAGGACTTAGTTCTGCCTTAGAGAAAGAAAACCAGCCCCTTGAGAAGCAAGGTGCAGACACACTTGTGCAAAAAAGATGGGGAACATGGTCTCTACTGACATCACTTACATGTGCATTAAAGTGTCTGAAAGGACACAAGGGGTGTTATGGCCAAGCAGACTGGGACCAGAGTGGGGAGACTTTTTGCTGTATACGTTTTTACACTTCAGATTTTTGGACCGAGAAATTAAATAAATTAAAAACAAATAGAGTGCCAGGCTCATGGAGGCAGAGATGTCTGGAGAACTTTAGTGCTAAGTTGTGTGGGGCAGACCCCGCGTGTGGTGGCTCAGGGAGGGGCCGTAAATCAGCAGGAAGAGACCACAGCCCATAGGGAAACCTCTTACCCTCCCCTCCCCGCCCGCTGGTTTTGAAAACACTGGAGGATTCTGCTTTTTCTTCTTCGTTGGAGTGGGGTGTTCTCCCCAGCAGGGGATGAGGATTGCCAAGTCACTGCTTGGTCTTGGACACTGGCAAATGTGTCACAGACTTGGGAGGCTGATATTTGAGATGGGCCCCCAAGCCCGGCTTGGGCTGAGCCCAAGGTGGGGTGTCGGGAGGTGCAGCTAAGGGGAGGGAGGAAGGGGACAGGCAGCACCCGAGTCCAGACGGTCCAAGCCCACATAAGCCTCTTTCATCTTCTTTGTTCTGTTACCAGTTCAGATCGCAGAGTTTTAGCCTTTCCCATGTGGCAACTCTCTCCTCTCCCATTATGAACGATTCTCCCCCAGATCTCAACCGGAGGCTGCACCCAGAGTGAGCTCCAAACCAGTGTTTGCTGACTTCAGTGTGTTCCCTCCTCTCTGGCGCCGGTGTGTGAGGATCTGTGCATGGCCCACCTGCTGTCTTCCGGGGTCTTCTAGCTGCATCATTGCACTTACGTAGCAAGAGACGTGCCGCTGACTGCTCCACGCTCTCTGGTCCAGTGTAGAATCCCACGACCCGGTGACAGACTGTCTAGGGTGCAGCGTGAAGAACCTCGTGCAGTGAGGAACTTTGTGAGTTCACTTTCATTTCTAATCCCTGCCACCCACAGATGGGGAAATCACTTCCAAGCCAATGGTGCTGTTCCTGGGGCCGTGGAGCGTTGGCAAATCCACCATGATAAACTACCTCCTTGGGTTGGAGAACACTCGCTACCAGCTCTATACAGGTATCAGTCAGATTTTCTTGTGTGATTGCTGGTATTTCAAGGTTATATGTAAAAACATTGTGAAAAATGAAAACATTCATAGGTGTCTTCAGTAGAACAATGAAAATACTAAAACAATGAAAATACAAGAAACCAGTAGCTACACCTATGTTCACAGCAGCGTTATTATTCACAATGGCAAAGAGGTGGAAACAACCCACACATCCATCAGTGGATGAATGGATTGAATGGATAAACAAAATGTGGCCCATCCCTATGGTGGAATAGTATTCAGCCCTGAAGAGGAATAAATTTCTGACAAATGCTACAAAATGGGTGGATCTTGAAGACATTGTGCTGAGTGAAATAAACTAGACACCAAAGGACAAATATTGACTGATTTCACTTATATGGGGTCCCTAGAGTAGTCAAATTCATAGTGACAGAAAGCACAGGTGAGATTACTAGGGGCTTGTGGAGGGGAAATGGGAGTTAGTGTTTAGTGGGGACCGAATTTCAGTTTGGGAAGATGAGAAAGTTCTGGAGATGGATGGTGGTGATGGTTGCACAACAATGTGAATATTCTAAGTCCCACTGAACTGTATACTTAAGAGTGGATAAAACGGTAAAATTTACATCTACTTTATCACAGTTTGAAAAAAGAAGCCACTAGCTTAGCAAACACAGTATCCAACGCTTGTGGCACGTCCTCCCTGGAGCACCTTGCTCATCCACGTGGGTCTTCTGCCCAGAGATGACTGTGTTCCTTACTCTTGTGCCCGTGTGTGCAGGTGCTGAGCCCACCACCTCTGAGTTCACGGTCCTCATGCACGGGCCCAAGCTGAAGACCATCGAGGGTATTGTCATGGCTGCTGACAGCGCCCGCTCCTTCTCGCCCCTTGAGAAGTTTGGCCAGAATTTCCTGGAGAAGCTGATTGGCATTGAGGTTCCCCACAAACTTCTGGAGCGGGTCACTTTTGTGGATACACCAGGCATCATTGAGAACCGCAAGCAGCAAGAAAGAGGTAATTTAACACTCATTTCTGAGCAGCATGAGCTTGGTCTTAGAAACCTGTTGCAGACAGTGGTTGGTAGGCAGACGGGGGAGACGCCAGCATTGTCCAGGACCAGGGGAAGCATTCTTTGTTTCCAGCCCCTTCTTGTCACTGGTACCTCTTCGGTGTGGGATGCCTCATCCTTTTACCTCCCCAAGGACTAATCTGGTTTGGAGGCCAGCAGAATTTTCCCAACGGGAGGGCTGGCCTCCTCTGTCGGTAGCTCCTTCAGGTCCGGGCTGGGGCTGAACTGTCTTTGGGAGGCCCAGGCTGTCTGGATGATCAAGGCCCTGGACTGATAGGATCCTGGTCCAGGTGTACTTGACCTCTGGCTAACTTGACTCTGGGTTAAACCTGACCTTCAAAGCTTCCTAGTCCCAGTGTCTGCTTTACCAGGCCGGCTTCAGCACCAGCTTGTAGCAGACTCTCCAAAGCCCTCCTTGCCTTCAGGTGACAGGGGAGTGCCACTTTGGGCCCAGCAGGCACTAGGCTGTGACGCAGGGCACTGAGTATCGCCATGACCAGAGCCATCTGCAGAGATGAGTCATAACAGGGCATTTGTAGGAATATATGTCCAGATGGTGGATCTTAGTTTATGGTTATGACTCTCATTTGTTTATAACCAGACCCTGTTTTATTGCTAGTGATAATATTAGCATTAATAATTATAATAATAAATTAACCTTTATTGCACTCCAATAATGCATTGGCTAATTTTATGCATTATTGGTTGATGGTTATAGAAAAAAATTCAAGACAGGTATTCCTAGTCTTCTCATTTTGGAAATAAGTTAAAGGAATTAAAATGTATTGTACATCTACTGCATGACTGGCTGGCAGTTTTAGTTTGGGTGCTTTTCCTATGTTTATAGCAACTCTGTAATCATTATATCAATTTAGGTGTTACTGTTCATCTTGTAATTTTGTAGCTAAAATGCTAGAGGCATGGAAGTATTTCCTACTTAGCTGGCCAGTGGCAGAGCCCAGATTCCAGCTCAGGCCTTAGTGGCAGGTCCACATTTCTTTCCTCTAAGTATTGCACCTACTCTTTCATTCCTTCTAATTCTCTGACTTCTTTCCTTCAACATCTCTTTTTTTTTAAATGGAGGTACTGGGGATTGAACCCAGGACCTCATGCATGCTAAGCATGTGCTCTGCCACTAAACTTTGCCCACCCTCCTCCTTCAACATCTTTGCCGCTGCTAGATCTTTTCAGACAGTAGGAGAATCTCCGTTTGGAAAAAGTGTTTTGCTTCCCTGAAGCCTTGGATTCCACTGCAGATTAAAACAAGGATCAGGTCGTTATGTGTTGAGGGTTGACAAGGGGCAGGAGATATGTAATTAATTCTTTAAAAGTTTTTGTTGGGGTAATAGCTCAGTAGTAGAGTGCATGCTTAGCATGCACAAGGTCCTGGTTCAATACCCAGTACTTCCATTAAAAAACAAACAAAAAAAATAATAAAAAAGTCTTTGGAAACCCAGAAAATCCCTGATGCTCTTACTCCCTTCAACCCACGAAATGATCTGGTTCTGGAAGGAGGTGTGAGGGGCTCAACCTGACCTCTCGTTCCCTCTTCCCAAGGTTACCCCTTCAATGACGTGTGCCAGTGGTTCATTGACAGAGCGGACCTCATCTTTGTCGTCTTCGACCCAACCAAGTTGGATGTGGGTCTGGAGCTGGAAATGCTCTTCCGCCAGCTGAAGGGACGTGAATCCCAGATAAGGATCATCCTGAATAAAGCTGACAACCTGGCCACGCAGATGCTCATGAGGGTCTACGGGGCCCTCTTCTGGAGCCTGGCCCCGCTCATCAACGTCACAGAGCCCCCCAGGGTTTACGTCAGCTCCTTCTGGCCACACGACTACAAGCCTGACACCCACAAGGACCTGTTTCTCAAGGAAGAGATCTCCCTCCTGGAAGACCTGAACCAGGTGATCGAGAACAGGCTGGAGAACAAGATCGCCTTCATCCGCCAGCACGCCATCCGGGTCCGCATTCATGCCCTCCTGGTTGACCGCTACCTGCAGACGTACAAGGACAAAATGACCTTCTTCAGTGATGGAGAGCTGGTCTTTAAGGACATTGTGGAAGACCCTGATAAATTCTACATCTTCAAGACCATCCTGGCAAAGACCAACGTCAGCAAATTTGACCTTCCCAACCGTGACGCCTATAAGGACTTCTTTGGCATCAACCCCATCTCCAGTTTCAAGCTCCTGTCCCAGCAGTGCTCCTACATGGGCGGTTGCTTCCTGGAGAAGATTGAGCGGGCCATCACCCAGGAGCTCCCTGCCCTCCTAGGAAGCCTGGGGCTGGGGAAGAATCCAGGTTCTCTCAACTGTGACAAGACAGGGTGTGGCGAGACCCCAAAGAACCGCTACAGGAAACCCTAGGTTGCCGCAGCCATCCTTGGGTTCCTGTTGGTGAATGAGCTTGCATCTGAACTGTCTGAGAAGTCCTGGTTTGTTAACCCTTTGAGCCACACTGGCAAGAACCATTACGCATTGGAGATTTGGGGGTTCACGGAGGCCAGTGGTGGGGGAAGGTGTGGGTGGAGGGAGGAAAGTGGAAACTGTGAATTATCGCGTTGCTTGTCTTGTTGCTTCAATTATGGCGCCTGATTGAGGCACGTCGGGCCGCACCTGCTTTCCCTGGGTCCTTATCTCAGAAGGTCAGAGAGCAGCTAAATTCTAGGGTAAACTGAATTCATGAGTGCCAAATAAGCTAAAAGCAGCTGAAATTCCTTTGTCCCTTATAAGCTGGGAAAACAGAGAAGACTTGAGTTCCACAGGCCTGTCTGCTCCTCCACACACAGTCCTCTGTTGCTCCCCAGACCTCAGCTGCCTCCTGAGCTTGGGTTGACTCCCTAGGAGACAGTCTCTTGGGTCTGAATCAACCTGGGGTTTGAGCCTACCCCCAGGCCCTCTTCCCTGTTTTCACAAGGGGCGGGGAGCGGTTCAGGACACCAGAACACCAAGAGAGAACTAGAGTTCCTGGCTGGAAGGATCTGCCCCCTGCTCCCAACCCTGGCCATTTCTCTGGCATCATCTTCTAAGCCAGCTGGGAAGCTCGGTCCCTTTCTCAGCTCCAGGAGGAGGGTGACTCTTCCGTGCATTCAGGTAATTCACTTCTTGGAAGCGACTTCAGTGGAAGTCGTGGCAGGGCTCAGAGGGTTAATTGGTTTGCAGTGTGTCTTTGTCTATTGCATGTCTTGGAAAACTCAGACCCCAAAGGCTTTGGGTTTCAGAGGGGACAGTGGAGACCTTGCTCCTTGCTGTGGCCCCAGTATCTCCGCGGAGACACTCGGCAGAAGGGTCGTTCCTTCCTGGTTTTCATCACATGGCTTTCCTTTCCCTTCTCTGTTCCCTGATGTGCACTTGAAACTCGGAGTCATTTCCTGGGACTCAGAACCCGCACCAGCCTCCGAGTATCGGTGGCAATCCAGGCCTGACCTTCAGTTCCCACCTGAACTTGTTGCTAATTCCCACTGATTGCACCACGGGGGAGCCTGGCTTCAAATACCGATGAGTGCGAATGTGTGTGTATTGCGTTGTCCAAGAGAGATTAGGGAGATGACAGAGGCCGGAGGGCACAGAGGAAGAACTGGCTCTGAGGGTCCTGCCCACCTGGCTAGCCCTCTCGGTGGGGGGCAGCAGGGACGGAGGGAGGATGCTGGAGGGGAGAAGCCTTTTGATGGAGAGTGAGTGGCTGAAGAGTCTGTAAGTCCGGGAGACCTGGCCCAGCTGCCCAGAGGGACTCCACCGAGTGACAAGTGAGCCAGGCCCTCCTGGGAGTGAGCTGTCCCGGGGGACTTCACTACGGGGCAGGGGTCAGGACCTACTGGCTTCAGGGAGTCACCCAGACCAGAAGGAAACTGAAGACAAGGCAGAGGGAGAGGTGCTCTGAGGATTACGCAGTGGAAGCAAATCGGCGATCGGATTAGGTCCACCAGGAGAACTGTAATCCCAGAATTTCCGTTTCTTGGAATTATTAACACTCCGGCGCGTGCTGCAACAGAGGCTGCCTCTTGTGGCTTTGCTGAGGACCCGGAACCACCCACAAGGAGACCAGAGCCTCCAGGACATTGTTTCTAAGACCAGAGCCAACCAGAGAAGAAAAGTCTGCCAGGGGCATCCAAGGAGCTTGGTGACCAGTTCCTGGGGAGCTGCTTCCTTCTCGTTAAAAACCAACCCTTCCTCATCTCTGCATCCTTTATGCTCTCGAGGGGCTGCTCTCCCTTCTTGCTCTCAGCTACCCGTGGCATATCTGTTTTTCCCAGTGCAGAAGGGGAAAGAAAAAGTGCAGAACTGGGCATTTTTATAGCTGCTAATAAGGTCACCACTGCTTTGGGGGAAGCAGCTGGAATGAGATGAGTACATTCACACAATACTTACATTTTCGGGGGTGGGGGCGGTGACATCGTCAGCGATCCTTTCCCCCTTGTCTTTTTTCCATCCGTTTTCTGTTTCTTACTCCTGCTCCAAGGTTCACTCCTTGGCTTCCCGTCTCTCTAACTGCCCGCACGCCTGTCAGTCAACCAGCTGGGGCTTTAAGCGCTGTTTTGTGCCCTGCTCTTTGGAGGTGGATTTCAAGCAGAATTCTGACTCTTTGGGTTGGGGGGTGGGGTAGTGGAGAACTAGGGGGGAGATTCAGGATCCAGAGATCCCCTGGGAGAAGCATCTGTAAATGTTTGTGCCTGAGCAGTTGCTGTTCCTCTCCAAAGCAGAACCTTTCCACTGCCCTTTCCATTCTGAGTTCATCAGGGAGAAAGTCTCAATAAAGTTCCAATCTCTCTGTAACACCTCATACTTTCTGGTTGTCTCCAAGCAGTATATCTCTTTTTCTTCTTTTTATCTAGTAGAGTGTCCTGATTTTTTTTATTAAGACAGTTTTTTTAAAGAGCAGTTTTAGGTTCACGGCAAAACTGAGAGGTAGGCAGAAATTTCCTGCACATCCCCTGCAGCCCCCACCCCGCACAGCCTCCCCCATTACTCAACGCCCCACCAGGTGGTACCTCCATTACAATTGATGAACCTACACTGAGGACATGTCACTGTCACCCTGAGTCCAGAGTTGACAGTGGCGTTCACTCTCGGTGTTGTGCATCTACAGGTTTGGACACGTAGAAATGTGTAATGACACCTGTCCATCTCTATAGTGTCATGCAGGGTAGTTTCGCTGCCCTGGAAATCCTCTGTACTCTGCCTCTCCGTCCTCCCGTCTCCTCTCATTGTGTGTACTAATTTCTAAGTTTCTTAGAGATAGACTGAAAATTTATAAATTGCCCACCCTTGAGCTGGACCCCTTCCAGGCACCTTCTGAAGCTCCCTCCTGCTTCTTGCCTCCCAGTGTCAAAGGTGACCTTCAGCCGGCTCCGAAACTAGGCTTCCTGTTGTATAATTGGAAACCTGAAGTCACATTCTCTCCTCAGCACTCGAATTTGTCATTTCCCCTGGCTTCCAAGGCAGTAGCCCATTAGTAGGAGTTACTGAAGCTTCTGTCCCTAAATCTCTCAGAGGAGGCTCAGGTAGGTGTTCACACCATTGGGTCCCCTCCCTCAGCCACGCAGCTGCCCACCTGGCACCTGGAGGCTCAGGTGAGGAGCCAAAGGTCAGCCCTGAACATGAGGATGGTGCCTCCCCTTGGCTTCTGCAGAAGGCGGTGCCGCCATGGCATGACCCTAGCTTCCTGCTGGTACCTGTGTTCAAGGAAACCCAAATCTGTCCCTGACTCTCTGAACCTGTGCCCTTCTCGACACACTTTAATGTCTCTGTGTGAGCATGTTTCCAAAAGGAAAAGAAGTGGGCCCTGGGAGTGTTAGTGGGAGGTTGGGAATAAGCAAAAAGGGAGTATGAGTTAACCCACGCCAGCACTGATGGGTCAAGCTGGAGAGGATGCTGACTTCAGTGAATTCAGTGCAAGGCCACCTGCTCTGGTGTCTCCTAAGTTGAGGGCTGATCTCGGGGCAATGTGGTTCATTGCCTCCCTGTCCCTCCCTTGCCCTCCTCCCAATTAGGGGGCCCACAGTCCACAGACTGATCAACTGATCAAGCTGCCCCAGCTAAGGTTGCTGCCACCCCCTCCCCCCGCCAGTGACTCCAACCAGAGTTTTCCCATGACTGGGAGAATATGGAGCTTTTTCCTGGAAAAGGGAAGGTAGGTGAAGTTTTTTTTTTTATTTAAAGAAATGATAAAATAGATTTTTTAAAAATTTTACATTTTTAATACAATTTTTAAAGGTTACTTTTCACTTAACAGTTATTACAAAATATTGGGTCTATTCCCCTTGCTGTACAATACATCGTGAGCCATTCTCATGCCCAGCAGTTTGTGCTGCCCACTTCCCTACCCAGGAGAGGTCTGCTCTGAAGGTGAGTATAGCACACCCGCCCTCTGGGGTTTCACACGCCTCATCCCACTACCTTTACGTTGCCTCCTGTTAGGAGGACAGAAAAACAGAAATGCAAAAGGCATGAAGCGAAGTCAAAGGCCATTCTAAACATGAGCAGATGCTTTGAGGGATGTCATGAATGGAGGGAGTGTGTATGTGTATGTGTCTCTGGGATATTGGAAGTTTCATGTGGCTGTGTGTGTAAGGGGTGGGCAAACACGTGCATGTGTGGATGGGTGCATGTTGGGCAGCAGACGCAGATGTGAGTGGGCCTTAGGGGAGTCAAAAGGGTGGGCACTGTGTTGTGCGGAGAGGGTCCGGGGGAATGGGTATGTCTGGGGTAGGTCGGTGGGTGTCGATGTGAAGTAACTGCACGAACAATGTGTGGATTACAGATCATGGGAGCATGTGTGCAGGCAGATATTTGTGTTTTGGGGGTGAACCTGGATGCCCAACCCAGGGTGGAGACCCAGGACAGTTCAGCCCTAGGAGGACATCCCAGCAGTCCCTGGGCTTTGCACTTGTACCGCAGAGTCTGAGCCTCCAGACGACATTTCAAGCCAATTCCACTTTCTGTGACATTAGGCTCATGCTTTTCCTAGTCCAGGGAAACTTGAAATTTTCTTTGGAATACCATAAAGGCGACGAAAAAGAAGCATGAGAAGGGGAGGGTAGGGCTCAGCAGTAGAGCGCATGCTTAGCACACATGAGGTCCTGGGTTCAATCCTGTCTCTCCATTAAAAAAAAAATTAAATAAACCAAAATACCACCCCCCCTCAAAAAAAAGAAACATAAGAAAAAGAGCAATTCAGCCAAGGTGTATTGAACAGTTCTGAGGTATCCCCTGTGTCAACCTCTTATCTGAAGGATAAAAAAAAATGACAAGCATAAATGAGCATAATCTGTGTCTGCTTGCACTTTGGAAACTGTTCTTCATTTTCCCTTAATGTCAGTGGGGAAGGGAACCAACTTCTAGGCCACTCCTTTGTGCCAGGAGCTGGGCTACAGACCTATAGATATTATCACTCTTATACCTTAAGATAATGCAGTGATTTTAACAGCTGTGTACCAGGCTGCACCAAATGCTTCGTGTACTTTATTTCATTTAATCCTCAAAATAACTCCACAGGGAAGAAGCCGTCCAACACGGACAAGAGCATGGGCTCTGGAGTTGGATTGCTTAGGATTCGTCCTGGGCTCCACCACTTACTAGCTGGGCAGCCCTAGTCAAATGACTTAACTTCTCTATGCTTCAGTTTCCTCACCCATAAAATAGAGATGCCAATAGTCTCTCAATCATGGGGTTGTTGCGAGGACTAAGTGACTTAATGCAACATGTTTGAAATAGTACAGAGCCTGTAGAAAGCATTCAGTAAGTGTTATTACTATTGTTAATCATACTTTATTGATGAGGAGACTGATGGTCAGAGTGGCTGAGTTGATGGCATGTGCAACTGTGAGGGCCAGAATTCTATCTGAAGCCTGACTCAACCTATAGGTCATGCTAGGTTATTTGCCCAGGGTCACTTTAGGTGACTCTAGTCTTTCTGATCCCAAGGCCTTTCCCTCCTCTTCACAAACGGGCAAAAATTCAGAATTTCAGCAGCTTGAAGTTTGTTAGTGACAAAATGTATCATTTGAAAGTAATTTTTACTAGAAAATTTATTGAGGATTATTTCCTGAATGAAATAAAATATTTAAAAAAACCCCGAATCCTTAACTCTATTTCAATTTAATCTTCCTCATTGACCACCTTATAAAGTAGACAAGGTAGGTGTATTTGGCATCCTTAAATCCAAATCCAGCATGGGGAAGAGAAGTCAAGTCCAAGTTAACCCAGTTAAAATGTGGCAACCTGAACCCAGAACTGTTCTAAAAATAAAACCTGTTTTTTAAAAAATGGCTTTAAAAAAAACTATGATAAACCGAACTAAAAGGCCAGTTTTCTACCCATCCCACTATTCTTTCTACTATATTCTATCATGTTGACTTGTATTAACCCGGGGCCTAGGCCAAGTTATGACAGTACATTTTTCTGACGCACTAAAAAGAGTGATTTTTGTATTTGTGAAGAGTGACTTTTGAATTTGTGTATTTTGTTGGCTATATTTCCATTTCCTCAAAACCTATGGATTTTTTTTCCCCACTACAACTTCAAAAGCCTTGGAAATTTTCCATATTTATTCAGGCATAGTCTCTGCCCTGGGGGAAGCTAACAATCTAGTTAGGAATACAGAGCATGCATGGAACCAGAGTTACCAGGAAAGTCCTCCAGGATGAAGCAACCGCATTTTCTAAATCATACATAGCAGAGGATTTTTTTCATTTGCAAATGTAGTTATTTGAAAAGTCTAACCGCATATAGACTGTTAAACTGAATTAAACATTTAATAGATTTCCTTTGTTGAACTCCATTTACATAACATCAGGACTCTCCTGAGAATACTGGGACAGCCAGGGGTTACCAAGTTTAGGGAGTGTAATTCCAGCTACACTTCCAGCAATGGGTGGGTTTGGAAGTTCAGAGACCAGGGGGGTGGATCCTGGGGGAAGATCAAAGGCCTAGACTCGGAGAAAGGAAGGCAGCTGTGTGGCCAGTGAGGAATCAAGGTGAGATGAGGTGAGCTGGGAAAACCGGTCCTTAGATGGAAGCCCAAGGAACCTGGGTTTGAGGCCACTCCAAGTTTCTGAACAGAGGGCCATGAAGAAGCAGGAAAGTTCCCGCAGGCAGCAGCACTAGGGCTGAAGTGAGAAGTCAGAGCTTCGCACCAAGAAACCTGCTTTGGCTACCCAGATAGTGTCCCCGGGCAGTGCCCCCTGGACTGGGATCCAAGGCCTACGGAGTGAGGGGTACCGGGTCTCTATCCTTCGACGCTGCCCCACTCCTAGGAGCCGGGAACCAGCCGCTGGAGCCTGGCAGAGGCGGCGGGAAGACGCTCACCCCATCAGTCTGGCCCTACTTAGGAGCCCTGGTTGGGCCCTGGACCCCTACCAGCCCCGGGTAGACCCAACTCTGTGTGTTCTTTGAACCCCTGTGACGTTTCAGTCACTCCAACCCAAGTGACCAGGGCCAGCGGACAACGGGACACGGAGGTCTATGTGACCGAGGCCGGATGAGGACACCGGCTGCTCCTGGCCCGCGGCCCCGGGTCTGCGATCATCCGGCGGGTCTGGCTCCTGG